TACATATCGAGGCCTATAACAATCATAAAGGCTCATATAACAATCATCGAGGGCCGATTATAATGGGGCTGTTGCTATCGTGCTATGTGGATTACTGATCTACTGCGACGCATTGTGATTCTGCTTACAGATGTCAACCCCCCCCTCTTGTCAACATGGTCGTCTAACATCCAGCGATCTTAGGAGCAAAAACAGTGACATGTAGATAACGATTACACCCTCCATTGAAATTGTCTCTTACATTTACTTTCGATATGCCAATGTTATCTGAACAGTAATGCTCGCAGTCCCACGAATTACTTCTAAGATCATGACAGACTCTGTTGATAAAGTCGTAAGGATGGTTTTTTGTAGGAAGTTTTGTAAGGCATTGTAATCATGTTTCCTCTATTATATAAAATACATTGTAGTTACTGTAGTCAGTGTTATTCCTATTAACTCAGTTATTCCCCGTTAAAGTCATTGGTATGCACGTGAAGTCTTATATTCGGCGTAAGTCTTGTATTTAATGGTAATCATTGTATTTATCGTGAAGTATTATATTCCGTAATGTCATTGTATTAATGTACCCTTGTATTTCACGTTGAAGTCATAATATTCCCGTTAGAGTCATTGATTTAATGGTGAGTCTGTATTCCGCGTAGGCATACATGCTGTGTAACGATGTAAATTCATTCTACCTGTGAGGTGCGACCGGAGAGGCTCCGTTCACTGCAAGCTTTTGACGCTCGCCGCTGTCTCCTTCGCGCGGCCCTTGGTGGACGGTCAGTTCGGTCTCTCGTCGTCGCCGACCACGCCCTGTGTCCGGCAACGGCCGCGGCCTCAGTGGCAGGGGCTCTACGCGCCCTACCTGGCATCTTCTTCTGCTGTAGAGAAAATGCGGTCGCTGTCGTTAGTCTGCTGCGAGCTCTGTTGCCTCGGCACCGTCACACGACAACGCACGCAATCGAACGAGCTATAGGCCGGTTTCCATCTTCGGGTCGGCCGCAGCCAAATGCGCACCCCGTTACCCGTAGGCTGGCGCCGGCTCGGCGCTCGCAATTTCTGCCACGGCGAGGCGCCACTGCCGACTCACGCTTCTCTTTCGTTTCCTTCTTCTTCTGATGCTTGCTCTTGGCTTCGCGCTTCGCGAAGGGCAAAATCATCACGGCGTTCTTCGCCGGCGCCCCTGCGTGGATCCGGCCGATGTTCGGCGGGAAAAAAACAAAGGCGACTTACGGTTATGTACGCAGGGAAATGTGGCGGAGCATGTACACTTTTTTATATTACTCCTTACTTTATGTCAACTCGTTTTCCCGTCAGCTTTCCACGGAACGGTGATGTTAAAAGAGCATTTTTTCATGGCCGGAGCAGATTTCACGACAAATTACCATAAAAATTTTGCACAGTGGGGAGATTAAGTGATCGCTAGGGACGGCTCTGATTGTGTAATTTTGTCTATTATTTAGTTTATTTTTTATTATTTTCGTGCTAATTTGTTTTTAGTTTAGGAATTAGGACAATCAACAAAAAAGAATAAAAAAAAGCGCCGGGCGGCGGGCGGTCGGCGCGGCGCCGGCGGCGTTCGGGGCGGGGCGCGGAGGCGGCGGCTCCCACCCCCCTACCCCCCCCCCCCGCCCACCCCCCCCACCACCCTCCCACACAGCCTCCCCCCCACCTCCCCCCCACTACCCGCCCCCCTCCTACCACACCCCCCCCCCAATACCACCTCCCCCCAGAGAACCCCCCCAACCTCATCAACCCCCCCAACGCCCCGCATCATCACCCCAGACTTTTTTTTTTTTTTTTCTTTTTTTTTCCTTTTTTAAAGGCGGGGGGGGGGGGGTGGCGGGGCGGGTGGGGGGGCGGGCGGGCGGGGGGCGGCGGCGCGGGTAGAACATTTTTACATGGGGCGGGCGCAGGGGCGCACGGGCGGCGGGGGGGCGCGGCGGGCGGGGGGCGGGGGGGGTTTTTTTTTAAACCGAAAAAACACTTAGGGATGGTTAACTGATTTTCTATCACAACTTAATTTTATAATAATGCGACATCTAGCGGGAGATCTTCTATCTTCCCCTGAGACTTACTATATAATAATAACACACTTTGCGACTTGTACCAGCAACCTAGCAATTGATTGGTCAGGAACATAATTATGCAGATAAATGTTTACCGTGAATATATGCGCGTTAATAACCGCAAATTTGGCCTTCAGATTTTCAACCTTGTAGTTTGCTCTGCGGTTATATAGTGCGCCTAAGTGCATGTGGAAAATAATACCAGAGCACATATACTTGGTTAACCGATTTAAATTGAGGTGCGGCTTATTAGGCGCCCGCGGTTAGTTACGCGATCATATAAGGTAGACCTCTATACAGCGACAGACATGTGCCAACTTAGTGGCACCACATACACAATAATGCCTTATTTCTAAAAAATTATATGAAAATAAATAAATTATGAATATTATATGTATATATATATATATATTATCATAATATATTATATATAGACATTTTTAACATATAACATATTACAACATTTATATTTATATATGATTTTTAAAATATATACATTACAAAAACATACAATTATATAAAATATATATATTTATATTATAATAATTAATACTGTACATAACTGTATATAATTACGAGTTAATCACAAGCATTTGCTTCGTCATTAAACCTCCCTGCCCCGCGCTCTCACGCGCTCTCCACCCCACCCGCACACCAGAAGATGCAACACTTTTGCTGCAAGATAGAGAGAGAGAGAGACAGAAAGATAGAGAGAGAGAGAGAGAGCAAGAGAGGGGGAGAGCATGAGGGAGAGGGGAGAACATGAGAGAGAGAGAGGAACAGAGAGGCGTAGGGAGAGGGAGAAAGAAGGGGGAGCAATGCCTGCAAGTCATTCACGCTTCTCATAAATTGCTTCTCATAAAACCCCTTGCTGCAGTAATAAAAACAATAAACAATACGTTTTCACCATAATATTACTTACCTTTAGGTATTTTATCAAAAAAATGTGTATTTGTAACATTTGCTACTGTTTCATTGATCCACAGGGGGCGCTACAAGTCACACTACCGGAGGCAGGCGCGCTCACGCAGGCGTTGCTCGGCTTCCTACGGGAAATGCACTCTGCAGGGAAAAGCAGCAACTTAAGTCCCAGCACCCTCTTTGGGCAGGTCTGTAAAAAGTAAGTGAAAACGGCCATTTTAATTTTTTATTATTTATTATTGTTAAATTTTTTTTTTTTATATTATTGCTTACTTTACTTCAGTCGGACGTGTTTTCCTGTAGCAAAATCGCATGTATGTGTGCGTACATGTGTGTATATTATACAATCATTGCGAGGGAAACACAAGTATTGTTTAAAATCATTGTTGTCCAAGGATAGAAAATCAAGTCTCATGTTCAGTGGACAACATTGATTTTCCTTACTGGCAATATTGGTTTTTATTTCATCCTGAGCGACACACTGCACAAATTACAGTGTTGTATTTTTCACAGCAATATAACATATGCACACACGCACGCACGCATATTTACATGTAATTTTTAGGGAACTAGAATACTAAGATTAATAATAATAATAAGAAGAAGAAGATACCCGCATATCACATGCAGCTCCGCTTCTGTCTGTCTCCGTTCCTACGTCGCTCTCTCTATCCCTCCCTCTCACTCTCTCTATCCACGCAGGGCGCCGCGATTCAAGGGCTTCCAGCAGCAGGACAGCCACGAGCTGCTGCGCCACCTGCTGGTCGTCTCTGTCTGTGCCCGTACAGGTCTACGTCGCTCTCTCTATTCCTGTCGCTCTCTCACTCTTTCTCTCTCTCTCCCTCTCGCTCTATCTCTCTCTCCCTCCTTGCTCTCTCTCTCTCTCCCTCCTCGCTCGCTCTCTCTCTCCCTCCTCGCTCTCTCTCTATCTCTTTCTCCCTCCTCGCTCTTTCTATCTCTATCTCTCGCTCGCTCTCTCCCTCCTCGCTCTCTCTCTATCTCTCTGTCTCTCAGACGCTCTCTCTCTATCCACGCAGGGCGCCGCGATTCAAGGGCTTCCAGCAGCAGGACAGCCACGAGCTGCTGCGCCACCTACTGGACGGGATGCGCAGTGAGGAGCTGAGGCGCGTGCAGGCGGGCCTGCTGCGCGCGTTCAACCTGCCGGAGAGCGTCAACCCGCGCAAGGTCGACGACGACACCAAGCGCAAGCTCAAGGGTAAGCGTCAAGGTCGCGAGGTCGGTTTGGGCATCGAGGTCAATGGTGAGGGTCAAGGTCGTGAGATCAGGGGTGGAGTCAAGCTCAAGGGTGAGGGTCAAGGATGTGAGGTTTGGTGGGGTGTCAAGGTCGCGAGATCAGGGGGGAGTCAAGCTCAAGGGTGAGGGTAGAGTAGGAGAAAAGTTAGTAGTAAATGGAGGAGTTGAGGTGCTGCGCGCGTTCAACCTGCCGGAATGCGTCAACCCGCGCAAGGTCGACGACGACACCAAGCGCAAGCTCAAGGGTAAGCGTCAAGGTCGGTGCGAAGTCAAGGTTATAAGGGTCGAGGTTGCGAGGTCGGTGAGGCGTCGAGGTCGGTGGGAAGTCAAGGTCATAAGGGTCGAGGTTGCGAGGTCGGTGAGGCGTCGAGGTCGGTGGGAAGTCAAGGTCATAAGAGTCGAGGTCGCGAGGTCGGTGAGGCGTCGAGGTCGGTGGAAAGTCAAGGTCATAAGGGTCGAGGTTGTGAGGTCGGTGAGGCGTCGAGGTCGGGGGGTCGGTGGGAAGTCAAGGTCAT